GTCACAACCGAAAACCCTTTTCTCTCCGCGTTGAATACGACCCAACAGCAATCAAATGCGACCCCTCCCCCTCTCCTCGCTGGAAATTCCCAACGTACGACGTGCCCTTATCAGAGGGGAAACGACACACAGTGGTCATTTGACTGCGTCGGGCCGGGTTTTGCGCTGTAACTTAATCTACATTCATTCTGGCCTCAGGGCCAAAACCTGCTCAGAACTATTAGCCATAAAGTCAAATAATTGCCTCCAGACTTGTCTAGAAGGACCTCCGGACTTGTCTAGAAGGATTCCATAAAGCGTCTCTAGTTTTCGTCCAAAGCTATGACATTGATCCTATTCTGCCAACTGGTATCGCTTGAACAGGGATAACGGTGAGCGCATGGCGTATCCTGAAAGGATCTGATGTTGAGCGCCATATAAGTCCTTTAGCTTGCTAACAAGTAGACAGTATACTGGCACTCGTCATCTTTTGGGATGCTCTTGCTTTTGAGAGCATTGAAGCAGCATCAGCTCTTGATATAGTTGGTTAAGGAGTGGATAAGGCTTGGATTGTCGGTTGATTTTTAAGTGCACTTGAACTCAACGAGATGGTCCATGCTGATCATGTGGGCGGAGTCAGAACCACAGTACCTCTTTCTCGTTAGCGGGCCAGTTTTCATTGCCTTGAGATGAACTAAAGAAGAAGGCGTCAGGGTAGGTGAATATGCCGCGATGGGCGAACTTAGCGACGCCGCGCAACGCATGGGACGAGTTGTCCTCGCCGGCCTTCGGCTTGAATGTCAAAGGGACGGGAAGGATCGATGTCAAACGAGAGAGAGTTTTGCCTCGCCTCTGATTACTATGAGCTTGGTTGATGCAAACGAAAGCTCACGCAGATCGAGAAACTGCCGATGCCCCGTGCGCGACGGCGCGGCAAAATACGATTGTATTGTCTGTCCTCCCTGGCTAGGCCTGACTCCTCCCATGAGATCTGCCTGGACAGTGCCTTAATAATTATTTCCAGGTCCTTCACACCTGTTCCTGTCCCGAGATCAAGACCGATGGGTCTATCGCGGTTATGGCTGTCTCGTTTCGGCAGGAGAAACCATTTACTCAAAGGTGACCTAAGACCTTGCTTTTTCTGAACCTTAATTTACAAGAGTAAATTTTCAGAGCGAGTATCCAATGCACTTCTGCTACGCGCACGAAGACACTGATAGTCCGGTGGAGGCTTATGGGATTTTGTTATACGACTCAATGTGCAGATGATTCACGTTCAGGTCGTGACCTTTCTCTTGTGATGGACTGAAAGGGTTAGAGAGGAATAAGCGGAAAATTTTTCCATCCTCTCACTTTGCTGATAGATTTCAGCTGCTGAAAGAATGGCGGACGATGACAAAACCCGAAGAAGCCGACATGCCCATGGACTTCACGTCTTGTACTCGATCAAGGCACGAGAAACAATGGTAAACTTTTTCTATATTACCCCTTCAAAGATGCCACCAGTTAGACAGTTTGACCATTCTTACGGTTACGAATTTTTGGAATATCAAAAAATATTGCACGAGAATTTTTTTCATCCCCCAAAAAGACATTAACTAGATGAATTCCGGCGCAGTTTGGCTTGGTGGGGACATTTTGCTAGTTTACTCGATCGCTGCCGAGGCCATCCGTGTAGGCTTGTAAACTTCTGTAGTTATGCAAAACAGAAGTTTTGTTTGCACTTCACTCACCATGTGGGTGATTATTCCCAAATTGAGAATAGAATTTAACGAAAATGCCCCTCCCGAGCCGGAACAGGGTTGATTTCGTTGGAAAATTGGGGTTTCGCTACAGCTCATAATGGTGCAAGTGTCCTAAGTACTTCAGGTTACAGAGAAAATGCCTCTTTTCAGACGAGCAAGGAATCTTTAGAGCGGATAGATTTTCTCTAGTTGCGAGTAAATAGACTTTTCTACTCTCACCATTTATTTGAGCCTTCAAAAAGGGAAAGTAGGAAAAGAAAGGAAGAGCAAACCATGAAGGAAGGGAAGGAGTAAAACGAACAAGAAAAAGAAGAAAGAGTGGCAAGAGAAGCTCCGCACCAGTCAAATATCCTGGGGCCTTAGTGAGACCTGTAGACTCATGTCATGAACGAAGCCCATACCGTTGCCTTGCCTTACAGGAATTCAGGATTGGAAACAGCGAAACGTCCCCACCAAACCGAATTGCGCCCACACTAATCATACCACTGCTGTTATTACACCTTTACCCACCCAACAGAAGACAAATCAAGGATACGGTAGTCGTAGAAGCCT